TTGGGCTTCATTCCTTGGGCCATTCGATTTGGACTACACTTTTAGTGTGTCAACAATTACCCCCCAATATGGCAGAATTAATACTAATTATTAATCTTTGCCATATTTATTTTGTGTTTTCCTGCAACATTTGAAATTCCCAAGAATTTCAATCATTACTTCCTTCCATAGCCTGAAAAATTGTGACATTGCAAACTTTTATAAACTCCAAAGACATGCCATTTCATCGCACCACTAAATCACATCTCATTATTTCGCATTTCTTTCTCGCAATATTACTGTTCATCTTCTTGCTTCCCTGCTTCGTTTCTCAAGCAAACTTTAACAAAACTGTATTTCGTTCCCAATGGCGGCTCCACAAACTCAATCTGATGACTCTTTTAGCTTCGAAGATTTTCAGAAAATCCTTACTCGACCATATGCAAATCCGAACTTCCTTGCACCAGCCAATGCCAAACTCAATGAGTTCTATCTGGGTCCATCATTCAAAAACGCCGAAGCCGTCGATCAAGTGGCGGTGGCCCAGCTGTTCCCTTGCATTCAAGGCCATCCGTTCCTGAACTCTTTGCCGCTAAGGCCGATTCGCGAAAAAAGTATTCGCGCTTGGCCTAAATCTGATGTTATTTTCGGTAGGTGGCATGCTCGTCTTGTGGGCCATGGTCCTACCAAGGTAATTTTTGATCGTGCTAGGATTTCCCAATTTTTGACCCAGTGCTTTTTCCTATTGCTTTAAGTTTTTGGTCTTTTGAATATAATACTTTTGTTTTCCCTCTTGGTCCCATGTCTATCACTTTAAGGGATGTTCGGGCTCTAGTAAATCTTCCACCTTTGGGCGATACCATTTTCCCTGGTATTTTGATTTTCGGTGTTGCCCCGAAATTTGACAAGAAACTCACTGAGTCCTACTCAAGCCTGCAAAGCTCTTATAATCACTCAAGTGCTGAACCCTCCCATGCTGAGCGTGTAGCCTTCCTTCAGATTTGGCTTTGTAAATATATTCTTTGTGTGCCAAGTATGAAGCCTTCCATAAGTTACTTACCCATAGTGCATGAATTAGCGCGTGGTAGGCCTTTGAATTTGTGTTACTTCTTTTTTACTGCTCTTTATAGAGGCATAGCTTCTTTTCAATTTCAGTTGAAGAATGGTGCATCTCCCACTGGCAGTAGGCCTCTTTGGTTCACTCAACTGTGGTTGAGAGCATATTTTCCACCACTTGGTGCTCCGTCCATTGCCAGTCGTTCTGCTAGCTGCTATGCGTTAGCCATTAATCCACTGACCCATGTACATATGTCCAGTAGGGACATTTTTTCATTCTTTTATTCCTTAAATTCGATTCCTTCTTTCTTTCCTTTTCTTGCTCATTTGACCCCAGATTATGTGCAACCTCCATCCACCCTGGACAGTGCGAGCGCCTCTTTGCTCGTTTGGGTTCAGTTTTTGACTGTGAGGGAGTTGTTCCATGACATTTTAACTAGAACTAATGCCAAGGCTGAGGTTGAAATATACGCTCCCCAATTTTTTGCTCGCCAACTTGGTTTTGGCCAAACTTGGCCTCTTCCCCCTTGTTACTCTAAAAATTTGACAGATCGCTTTCACACCATTAATAGGGCAGAGGCACAAGTTATAGATGCTCGCAACCTTCTTTTGATGAGCAAGTTTTCATTAGCCTCCTTCAATTCTAGCCGTGCCATCCATCCCCTTTTTGAACAACTCTGGCCATCAGTGAAGCGCAGATTGTTTGTAACTGATGTTAATCGTGCTTTCCATTCACTGGATCATCCAAACACTTCTTCCACTTCTCCTATTTTGGTCACTCCTGTGTCCATTAGGAATCCTTCCTCCCCCGTTCGTGCTAAATAATCTATTCGTCCATCTACTTCTCTACCTGCCAAGGCTACTGCAGCTAAGAGTGCCTTGAGCCGCAAACGGCCAGCTTCAGCATCTCCCACTTTGGAGAATGATGATGATGATGATGATGACGTTCCCCTCATCGTTAGGAGAAAGGTAATTGAATTCTGTTTACTCACAAACATACCTTTCTATGTGCTAATGGTTTACTTGAATTTCTCAGAAAAGTTCAGCCTCTCCTTTGAAGGCTTTGGTGTTGGCAACTCCTGCTCCATCATCCTCTGCTGAAGCTACTTCGTCCAAATCAGCTGACGAATGGACTATGCTTAAAGAGAAACCTTCAGTCCCGAAACCTTCATCACAATCAATGGAAGAGCCACCTTCTTCCCAGGGCACCGACCCCTCAAACATCGAACCAGAAGGTAATACATTTTTTGATATTTTACCTTTGCTTGTGCTATTGGTTTCTAATTTGTTGCTTCTTGAATTCTACAGAGGCTCCCATGGGTCTGCCCGTTGTGGCAGAGTCTTCTCGCCCAGATAAGGAAAAGTCTCCACAGGTGGTGGAGCCAACTGGTGATATGCCACTTCCCAAGACTGTTGATGAGGTAACTTTTGGCTTCACTTTCATTTTCGCTTCGTTTATTCTAGTGAAAGCCCTCAATGTTGGCATTTTTCTTTACAGGGTGCTGATGACATTGTGCATTCCATCCAGGACTTGTTCACTTCCTGGGGGCAAGTCAAGACGTCTCGCCTACTTCAATTGGTCGTCCTTCTGCTTCTTCAGAGGAAGATATGAAGTTCTTCAAACAGTCAATATTTGAGTATGTGTCTTTTATGGACATGGACATCGGTCAGGCTAGTGCTGCTAAACATAAGGATAAGCTTGAGCTATTGAGTGCAAAGTTGGCGCAAGCACTGACACTTCCGTCGCTTAATATTTCTGTTGATTTTAAAGCAACGTTGAAGGTTGTCCACTCTGATATCCTCTCCTTGTTGGCCAAAAATGTTGAACTGAAGGCCAGGAGTACTCAATATCTCCGCGCTGCATCTGAAAGAGAATCTTTGCTTCTAGAGATTAACAAAGCCGAAGACGAATTGAAAGAAATCTCTTCCGAAGTTATGATCGAAGACTCTCTGATGACAAGTTTGGCTACAGAGATGAAGGAGCTTTGATAAAAAATGGACGATTGTAGGGCGAGAATGGCTGCTAAAAAGTGTAATGCTTCCCAAGGAATTGAGCGAATCAAGTCTTTGGTCGAGCAGTACAAAAAGCTGGAGGTTGATGACGATTTGTAACTGAATTAAATGTCGCTTCTTCTTAGCAGAGCGAGGATTGGGGGAGACTTAGAGAAAGGATTCGAT